GACGGGTACCAGACCAGCATACACATAAAATTGCCCTCATATCATGGAATATAAATGGATGGATCGGACTCTCCCAGGACCCTGAATCAAGAGAGTATCTTTCCTCTAAGGACATTGTATTGATGTAAGAAACTTGTATCCAGGAAAAGGTGCCAATCAGTGGTTTTTACTCACACTCCATCAGTGCAACCTCCGGGGTAGGTCATGGAAGATGCAAGGGAGGCTTAGGAGTGTTGATTGCCACATCCCTGTGTGTAAACACAAGGCTGCTACCATCCTTCAAACAACACGCAATGGCCGTCCTTGCCCATTTTTAACATTGGGATTTGCTGATAATAAACGTGTATTTACCCCATCAAAAGAAGAAATCACAGACTGGCAATATGGACTGAATTTGAAGTTTATGTAGCAGAGCTGCTTCATTCTTATCCCAACACATATGTGATTCTGGGAGGGGACTTCAGTGCTCATATAGGCCCTAATGATCAAGCCCTATACTATTCTCAACGTAAAGCATACCCTCCTACACCTGGCCTAAATGGACTAATCGGCAATCTAAAGATTGGAAAGCAAATTATGCCAGTCTCCTCCTACATCAAATAACCACCTCCTACATCAAATAACTATCAAAAATGTGCTTAACCTGCACATTTTAAAATGGTGAATATGGAAATGACTATCCAGCTGAATTCACCTACCTGGCAGGAACTAGAATGAGCTAAATAGACTAATCATTTCATCAAATTTAATTCCATTACTGGAGAATCTGGAAGTAGCCCCAAAATTCCAAAGCAACCATCTCCCTGTCTTACTAATTATGAAAGCCCCTTTGCCTTATCTAAGAAACGACAATCATACCTACCCATGATACTCCCTGAGGGGGAAATATACTGTCAGGCCAAATGGACCCCAAAGATGGACCTGGATCTACAGACTTTATTTGCATCTGACACCATGCAAAGCATTAGGACATCTATAATGTACACTATCAACCCAGTGGAAACTTATGAGGAGCTGATCTGCGAGCTGAAACAGCCTGTTACTGGTAAGGCAAAAGTCACCCAACAATGGCAATATCCAACTTCAAAGCCATGGTTTGACAAGGAAGGTGTACTAGCTTAAAAAAGTCTTACAGAGCACCTACCAAGCCTATAAATTAAGTTCAGATCTGAAAGTAGCCCAAACCCTTCTGAAAGGTGCAGATGTGGGCCAGTTGAGATGGAATAGCACACTTGAAGATGTTCCACCATGGTCACCTGTGTCAACTTCCGAAATACACAATTTAATAGCCCAGATGAAAATGGGAAAAGCCCCTGGAGAAGATCTGATCCCTCCAGAGGCGGTCAAAATAATCTAGAATTTTGGGCTCCGGTTCTAGCATCGCTATTCACATATATCAATGCTACTGGCCAAATTCCAGAAAACTGGGGATTTGCTATCATATTCTCCATATTTAAGAAGGGAAAGAGAGATGACCCTGCGAATTACAGGCCTTTTAGTCTCCTTAGCACAATCTGTAAATTATATACTAGGCACTTATATTGGAAATTCAAAGATTGGCTGGAGCAGGATAAGATACTTGCAGAAGAGCAGGCAGGCTTCAGGGGAGGTCGATCTACCATTGACCAATGCTTCATATTATAACATCTTACTGAAAAATATACTTCTGATAAAGCAACTTCACTCCATATAGCTTTTATAAATTTCAAGGCAGCTTTTGACTCAATATCAAGGGTCAAATTATGGAGAAAACTAGAGGCTTCTAATATTGACAGGCGTCTGCTTCAACTTATTTAGGCTCTCTATAGAAATACCTCACTTAAAGTAAGATGGCCATCTTACTAATGCCATTCAAACCCAAAAAGGAGTCAAACAAGGTTGCCTTCTGGCTCAACTTTTGTTTAATTTTTATATCGATTCCATGGTGGACCAGTTAAAAAATATTGACTTTCATCCCCCTAAAATCGCAGGGAGGCATATAACAACATTACTGTATGCCAATGATGCAGCTGTCATCTCTAGGACCGCAATTGGGCTTAGAAGAGTTGTCTATATATTGTGAGCAGGAAGATCTGATAATTAATTTTCAAAAAAACAGAAATCATGTCTTTTGCCAAAAGGCCAATAATGCGAACATGGATGGTAAATCAGCACAGAATTGATCAGATCCTCCAATTTAAATATTTAGGTGTCATTTTCCAATCTAACGGTTCTAGGAAAGCACACTGTGATTATGTGTTATTAAATGCACAGAGAAGTTCTGTTGCAATATTACAATTTATGAGAACAAAGGGGGGGCATTACATTCCCTCGGCTATTAAATTGTTCCATGCAAAAGCAATAGCCCAACTACTGTATGGCTCCCAATTCAGCCCCTTCCTAAATATTGCAACCTTAGAATGTGTACAATCAAAATTCCTGAGGGCAATGTTAGGAGTCCCCAGATATGTCACCAACGTAAAACTAAGATTGGAAACTGGTCAAATTAAAATCGAAGCCAGGGTATGGATTGCAATTCTCTGGCTCAGACTATCTTATCTCCCTATTGGTCTTGCACCATTGATCCTGCAAGACACCTTTAAGTCAAAATGGGTTCAGTTAATTGAGAAAAAAAAAAGCCTCTTTGGGTCTCTCTTGGGTGACTCTGTTAACCATGGGAATGGAACAGGCAAAGAAAATAATTAAGCAGCGTATTGAGGACATTGAGAGACAAAATGATTTAAGCAGTGCCCCAGAGTTCTACCTTAGGGAGGACAATTTATACAAGGTTACAGCAGCACCTTATTTTGCCCAGTTGGAGCAGCCCAGGCATAGAAAGGCGTTTACTCTGGCCTGGCTTAACGCACTACCTTCAGCAGTGCAAAAGAGAGGCGGTATAAAAAGATCCCCTGGGCAGAACGCCTTTGCCCATGTGGAATGGAGCAGATAGAAACAATTGAATACGTCCTGTTGCAGTGCACATTTTACAAGGATGTACGTGAAGAACTTGTTTCCCCTCTGACTGGCCGATTTCCCAGTTGTATAGAGCAACAATATATGCATGTGCTGCTGTTTGACTCCAATCCCATTTTTACACATAGGGTTGCCAAATTTCTTACTGCTGCAATGGGCATTAGAGAAAGGACCCTAAAAGCGGATGAGCCTCTGTAGTTAGAGCATGGTTTGCTAGAAATTCTGGAATTGCTTTAGGGGAGATGTTTTGATGTTGTTGTCGTTGTTCACCTCAGAACTGAGTATTTGCATTTGATCCTAATTTTTTTTATACCTCTGTATATTTATATATTTCGATGTTTTATTTGTGGCTGGTCTTTGACCATAATAAAGATTTATCTATCTATCTCAGAGTCACCAAGTCACACCAATAAAAATTTAAAGGATCTGCAATGCTTTGAAGTAAATGGGATTCGATATCACTATTTCAGATAGTCATGAGAGTGAAGCATTTATCTTAGATTGCTCTACCTTCATGACAAAGTAGTTTTCTCCCCCTTCTCCCTTTTTCTCTTCTCTCCTGATCTAAGCAAGGGGGGGGTTTTTTGGTTTTTTTACCTTTTGAGTAGGTTTTTTTTAAAGGTAATGTCAATTTTGCTGACTCTTTATAGCTATCTCTTTTCTGTGTATTTGGGTTCGTGAAGATTTTTGTTACATTAACAAATATTATAACCTACTCAGAGTCTCTGGTTGAGATATTTCAAACATCCTTTTGCATTCTCTCACTCTGCTTGGGATGTTCCCAGCTCTTTGCCAAAATCACTTCCTCCTTAGTCTGTACACTCAAATGTGACCTTGGAGGGGGAAACAGCCTTTGCAAATCCCTTTCCCCTCTTTTGTCATCTCTGCTGCTTCAGACATTGCTTCTCCTAGCAGCATCCTTCCCTCCTCCTCGTGGTTTGGGGCCCCCCACAACTGAGGGGTCCCAATCAGTTTCAGGAGCTTGCCTGAAACCCGACTGGTTCTCACCGCGATGAAACTTCACCATTATTAAATAATTATATCCTCCATGATTTGCAAAGTAAACAAATGAAAAAGGCATTGATATACTGAAAGACAGAAACACACATTATAGAGTGAGTTTTCAACGTCCTCATGCCTAAAATTCTTATGAAACAAATTGTCCGAATATTATAGTAATTCATTGTAATATGTATTGAGGTAATTGGGGAATTGTGCACATATCAGAGCTGCTACTGCTTATTGCCTCAGTAATGGTACTATTCATACATTTGTCTTTCTCTTCATGAATATTTGTACTGAAATAAGCAACTGCTTGCATAGGCAGAAGTATTGTGCTAAATAAAATAAAATTGGCAGACATCTGTAGCAGAAATGAATGAAAAAACCCTTATGCCCATTTGAAATATTTTCTAATGTTTCCTTGATCAAAGTGTTTGTACACTGGTGTGCTTTCTTTCCATAAAAAAAGAGTGTGCTGCTTATGTACCGACCCATAGGTGCTTAAAGCTCTCTTGGCAGTTTACAATTTAATTATGCAGGCTATACATTCCCCCCCCCCGGTGGACCGAGTACTTGAAAAATAGAATATGTTTCCTTTCAGATTTCTTTTAACAGCTGAAATGCATATTAAAATATCTTGCTATTTTAGCATTATTTGGTTTGCAAAATACAGTCTGTACACATATAAATGCTGGAGATAAAATGACATTATGTTCTTTATAAACTCGTACACATCTGAATTTGGAAAGTCTGAGCTTTTCTGTAAATTTAGCATGATTAAGTATAGCATTCAATAGGTGAAGTTGTGAAAATATATGCTCAGAGTAATTTTAATACAATTTCTGGTATTACGCTTAATGTCTTCATTATATGTTATTACAGGATGTTTTAGGGGACAATGTATATTTTTTGTCTTTAGTTTCTTGGATTTTGAAAACAGTAATAAATATCCTCAATTCAAAGCCATTTCTAAGATGCAACTGGATTTATCAGTTTCCCAGTCTAATATAGCCAGTCAACCTTATTGTGTGTTTGTGTTTTTACAGGTTGTGGGCTGCTCATTGCAGAAAGATACAGCTGAAGAAGGGTTAGCATCTTTAAATTCAACTTTGTGACCTGAAAATCTAGGTTTCCATTTTATTAAAAACGGAAGAAAAAGGATGAGCTGCATGGGAATACAGAGATAAAAAATTATTTGATCCAGTGAATGTAAACAAGAGGAGTCCAGTGTACAGTGGGCCCTCGACTTACGAACTTAATCCGTTCCGGAAATCCGTTCGTAACCTGAAAAGTTCGTAAGTCGAAACCAATTTTCTCATAGGAATGCATTGAAAACCATTTAATCCATTCTGGCTGTTTTTGGTTCTTAAGTTGAGGGGCAGTTCGCAAGTCGATTCATTAGTTCCCATAGGAACTAATGCAAAGCTGCTTAATCCATTCCTACCACTAAGGGCAGAGTTTTTTCCCTTTTCCCCCCTTTTTTGGTTTGTAACTCGATTTCGCATTCGCAAGTAGGGTCTATAGTTTCCTATGAGATTGGGTTGATAACCCAAAACGTTTGCAACTAGGGCCGTTTGTAAGTCGAGGGCCCACTGTATATTTAAAGATTCCTCAGGAGGTCCCCACTTACTTTAGTGATGATGCTCATATGTGTACAAAATGTTGTTCATAGTACTACCCTTTGTTGTGAATTGAGGTTTCAGTCAGGCTTGCAGCCACGATATGGGGCTAAGACTGCTTTGATTACTTTGGTAGATTACCTGTGCTGGGGAGCTCAACCACATCAGTTCTCCTGGAGCTTTCATTGGTATTTGTATTCCTCCATAAAGCAGGGAGTTGAATTTGATGGCCTTATAGACCACTTCCAGTTTCACTATTCTGTGAGTCTATGATTTGATAACATTGGCCATGGTATCCTATAGAATTGTCTTGATAGGTCAAGTATTGTGGTCACTGTATCACAGTGGTTCCAATCATCCTTGTGCAGACTAGTACCTTAAAATGCAGCTCTGTGCATGCTCAGGGACATATTACACCCACACAGAGCTGCAGGCATACAGGGCAGTAAGCACATGGATGCTCCAGCCATGGGTTGTTTCATGTGCCTTGCAGAATCTCATAGCAGAATCTTATCCAGGGTTGTGTTTTGGGTTTTTTTTTAAGCTTCACCATACAAAGTTGCCCTGTATATCGAAAATGAAGTCTAGAAACAGAGCACTAGGTTAAAGAAAGAAAGCCACATCTAAAAGGAGAACGCTAAACTGACAGCCAACCGTTTTAACAAAACCAACTAGTGTTAGATATTTCTCTCTCTCTCTGCGCTGTTCTCTACTTTCCTTCCTTCCTTCCTAACATGGAGGAGTGTTTAAATGCTGGTTTCCTCCTCTAAGCCCCTTGTAAATCAACTATCTCTGAATGAGCCCGATCATATTTGCTAGGCCTGGTGCCGATGCTTGAGAAATTCAAAATTTCTTTCCGAGTCCTGCCTAGAAACCTCTCGATTGGCTTTAACGTGGGTCGTTTTGCATGGAAATTTGTGTCCCCCTTCTGAAATATGGCTCACTTCTGGCTGTGTGTGTGTGTGTGTGTGTGTGTTTAGTCGTTTAGTCGTGTCCGACTCTTCGTGACCCCATGGACCAGAGCACGCCAGGCCCTCCTGTCTTCTACTGCCTCCCGGAGTTGTGTCAGGTTCATGTTGGTTGCTTCGCAGACACTGTCCAGCCATCTCATCCTCGGTCGTCCCCTTCTCCTCTTGCCATCACACTTTCCCAACATCAAGGTTTTTTCCAAGGACTCTTTTCTTCTCATGAGATGGCCAAAGTACTGGAGCCTCAGCTTCACGATCTGTCCTTCAAGTGAGCATTCAGGGTTGATTTCCTTTAGAACTGATAGGTTTGTTCTCATTGCAGTCCAGGGGATTCTCAAGAGCCTCCTCCAGCACCACAATTCAAAGGCATCAATTCTTCGGCGGTCAGCTTTCTTTATGGTCCAGCTCTCACTTCCATACATCACAACAGGAAAAACCATAGCTTTGACTATTCGGACTTTTGTCGGCAAGGTGATGTCTCTGCTTGTCAATATGCTGTCAAGATTTGTCATCGCTTTCCTCCCAAGAAGAAGGCGCCTTTTAATTTCAGGGCTGCTGTCTCCATCTGCAGTGATCATGGAGCCCAGGAAGATAAAATTTGACACTGCCTCCATATCTTCCCCTTCTATTTCCCAGGAGGTGATGGGACCAGTGGCCATGATCTTAGTTTTTTTGATGTTGAGTTTCAGACCATTTTTTGCACTCTCCTCTTTCACTCTCATTACAAGGTTCTTTAATTCCTCCTCACTTTCTGCCATCAGAGTGGTATCATCTGCATATCGGAGGTTGTTGATATTTCTTCCGGCAATCTTAATTCCGGCTTGGGTTTCTTCCAGTCCAGCCTTCCGCATGATGTATTCTGCATATAAGTTAAATAAGCTGGGGGACAATATACAGCCTTGCCGTACTCCTTTCCCAATTTTGAACCAATCAGTTGTTCCATGACCAGTTCTAACTGTTGCTTCCTGTCCCACATATAGGTTTCTCAGGAGACAGATAAAGTGGTCAGGCACTCCCATTTCTTTAAGAACTTGCCATAGTCTGCTGTGGTCCACACAGTCAAAGGCTTTCGCATAGTCAATGAAGCAGAAGTAGATATTTTTCTGGAACTCTCTGGCTTTCTCCATAATCCAGCGCAAGTTAGCAATTTGGTCTCGAGTTCCTCTGCCTCTTCGGAATCCAGCTTGTACTTCTGGGAGTTCTCGGTCCACATACTGCTGAAGCCTACCTTGCAGGATTTTGAGCATAACCTTGCTAGCGTGCGAAATGAGTGCAATTGTACGGTAGTTGGAGCATTCTTTGGCACTGCCTTTCTTTGGGATTGGGATGTAGACTGATCTTTTCCAATCCTCTGGCCACTGTTGAGTTTTCCAAACTTGCTGGCATATTGAATGTAGCACCTTAACAGCATCATCTTTCAAGATTTTAAATAGTTCAACTGGAATGCCATCACCTCCACTGGCCTTGTTGTTAGCCAGGCTTTCTAAGGCCCACTTGACTTCACTCTCCAGGATGTCTGGCTCAAGGTCAGCAACTACATTGTCTGCATTGTCCGGGATATCCAAATCTTTCCGATATAATTCCTCTGTGTATTCTTGCCACCTCGTCTTGACGTCTTCTGCTTCTGTTAGGTCCCTCCCATTTTTGTCTTTTATCATGTTCATCTTTGCGCAAAATGTTCCTCTAATATGTCCAATTTTCCTGAACAGATCTCTGGTCTTTCCTTTTCTGTTATCTTCCTCTATTTCTTTGCATTGTTCATTTAAGAAGGCCCTCTTGTCTCTCCTTGCTATTCTTTGGAAGTCTGAATTCAAGTTTCTGTAACTTTCCCTATCTCCCTTGCATTTTGCTTCCCTTCTCCTCTCTGCTATTTCTAAGGCCTCGTTGGACAGCCACTTTACTTTCTTGCATTTCCTTTTCTTTGGGATGGTTTTCGTTGCTGCCTCCTGGACAATGTTACGAGCCTCTATCCAAAGTTCTTCAGGCACTCTGTCCACCAAATCTAGTTCCTTAAATCTGTTCTTTACTTCCACTGTGTATTCATAAGGGATTTGGTTTAGATTATACCTGAGTGGCCCAGTGGTTTTTCCTAATCTCTTCAGTCTAAGCTTGAATTTTGCTATGAGAAGCTGATGATCAGAACCGCAGTCAGCTCCAGGTCTTGTTTTTGCTGACTGTATAGAGCTTCTCCATCTTTGGCTGCAGAGAATATAATCAATCTGATTTCGATATTGCCCATCTGGTGATTTCCATGTATAGAGTCGCCTCTTGTGTTGTTGGAAAAGAGTGTTTGTGATGACCAGCTTATTCTCTTGACAAAACTCTATTAGCCTTTGTCCTGCTTCGTTCTGAACTCCAAGGCCAAACTTCCCTGTTGTTCCTTTTATCTCTTGGCTCCCTACTTTAGCATTCCAGTCCCCTAGAATGAGAAGAACATCTTTCTTTGGTGTCAGTTCTAGAAGGTGTTGTAAATCTTCATAGAATTGTTCAATTTCAGTCTCCTCAGCAATGCTGGTTGGTGCATAAACTTGGATTATTGTGATGTTGAAAGGTCTGCCTTGGATTCGTATTGACATCATTCTATCATTTTTGAGATTGTATCCCATTACAGCTCTTCCCACTCTTTTGTTGACTATGAGGGCTACTCCATTCCTTCTACGGGATTCTTGCCCACAATAGTAGATATGATAATCATCTGAGCTGAATTCGCCCATTCCTGTCCATTTTAGTTCACTGATGCCCAGGATGTCAAAGTTTATTCTTGCCATCTCCTGTTTGACCACCTCCAGCTTCCCAACGTTCATAGATCTTACATTCCAGGTTCCTATGCAGTATTCTTCTTTGCAGCATTGGATTTTCCTTTCACTTCCAGGCACGTCCACAGCTGAGCGTCCTTTCGGCTTTGGCCCAACCACTTCATTAGCTCTGGAGCTACTTGTACTTGTCCTCCACTCTTCCTCAGTAGCATGTTGGACGCCTTCCGACCTGAGGGGCCCATCTTCCAGCGTCATATCTTTTAGCCTTTTGTTTCTGATCATGGGGCGTTCTTGGCAAAGATACTGGAGTGGCTTGCCATTTCCTACTCCAGGTGGATTGCGTTTAGTCGGAACTCTCCACTATGTCCTGTCCGTCTTGGGTGTCCCTGCACGGCATAGCCCATAGTTTCTCTGAGTTACTCAAGCCCCTTCGCCACGACAAGGCAGCAATCCATGAGGATTTCTAAATTGTAGTCTAATGAATGAACCCTTCCACTCATACATCTTCAGTCCCTCTGTATGGACTATCAGTATCGTATTGAGAATACCTCTCTTTTGTCCTTTTCAAAGTAGCTGGTCTCTCACCTTCCCTCTTTTCTAGAAGAGCAAAGGGAAACATTAATTATGATTTTATGGAATCATTTCTTTTGGTCTCTAAATAATATTTCTTCTCCTCTCCCTAAACCCAAGCAAGTGATCTTTGATCTTATTTATTTCCTTATGTTTATTTGTACATATAAATTA